CATCAGACAAAGCATCAGATGAATACGTTCGTCCATCAGCACATCTCACAATAGGAATCTGAAATTCGCATACTTCAATTGTTCAAAGGGATCCCCTTACCGTTCCAGACTTTTCCAAAAGGTAACCCATGCCATTTTCCATCGCAAACCCTGAATCCTTCCAACACCATGGCACAAGTACCTTGACTGATTCAGAGCACGATTCAACTGTTAACTTCTCATTTAGCTTCACTACCAACCTACTCATTCAATCTATCCAGAAATTGTTGAAATCAATCGCAGAGTTGCTCTCTGGCATGCGACGCTTCGTCACATCACAGAACTGAACACGCATAGTATAATCCCGACAAAAGAGAAGTGATAGAAAACATTACCTGAGCTTCACCATTGCTTTCTTCATAGGTGACTTCATCGCCTTCTGTATCGCAGTCAACAATATCATCACATATGCACATGGGGGAAGGCAGAACGATGTCGATAGGCAGCTCATTTCCTCGTCATCACAAGGATTGTTGCTCGCCAACCAAAATAAAAACGTTTTCTATTTTAAAAAACTTGTAAATTATTAAATTTGCCATAAGTCTTGCGTTGATTTTGGCAGAGAATGTACACTAGCAGACTCAAGTAACATAAAAAAACGCTAAAGTTTTAGGAAAAGTATTTCGTGAAAGATAGCCTACTACGTTTAAATGAAATTTGAAAAAAATCCAAATTAAGGGAGTTTTGCAGAGCGCATTCAAAGTGGGATATACACTTTTAATGAAAATGATTTCTTAAACATTTAAAGGCGGCTCTGTAATTTAATAATTTGGAGCACGCATAACCTCATATAACTCACTTTTTTTTATTTAGATTAACACACTCCAAAGTAAAAACATAAACTTAAATGAGTGGCTCATTCAGCACTGTTCAACTGTTACTTATCGACTCATTTGTACAAGCAAAAAAGCCTTCGCAGTGGGACACATTGGGAGGGAGGAGGGCTGTAGATAGTATTCCGTGAACTACCTGGACATCATTATGTCGCAACTCATCCACAACGTCAACTTCGTCACCCTCTAAGGGATCAGGCTTTGGGAAGAAGTGACTGCTTCAAATGACTTCAATGGGATAGGCTAAGTATGCAGTTCAAGAGGCAAAAGGAGGTGTATGACAGCGATAGCTCCAGTTGCCAGCGATAGCGAGCTCAAAACCGCCTATTTTTTTTACCGTTTACAGTGCTTTCAACCAACGACGTCGTTTATCAATAGAGCTAAGCCACTATGCCAATAATCGCTTACCAAATGATGAATTTTTGGTTTTTGGATAAGTCGCGCCGTATTTTTTTTAAAATTGATATAAATCTAAATAGACCAGAAGTTTTGGCAACACATATATCGTTTGAAAGGAATCTCCCCCTACAAAGTGGTGTACTTGATCTGTCTAATTATTTTGGTTTTTTTATAGCTGAAGTGTTGAAAATTTAATGGTCAAAGGAAAACTCGACCGACTTCTCGTTCCTAGAAAGCGAGACAGCATAGCTTTCTACTGAAGCGATTAAACATGCTAGTTTTGATAATTTCATGCATTCTAAGGAAAAAAGCCGCCGGTGGGGTTTTTTAGCTCTCCAAATTTGCAATAGACAGTAAATGCAGACATTGACTAAGCCAGGTAAACTATCTTTCAAAGGGAGATTTTCTTTGAAAAGTCAATACGTTGCTAATTTGGGTGATGGACAAATTTTGCAAAAAACAGCAAGAACTGAAGCGGCAACACAATGCAAAAAAACTCGATTTGATTTGTCGATTGAGTTATAGATCTTCTTCGAGATACAAATTTCTGTAGGTTATAGACGAAACTATTCATATTAAACTATTCCTTGGTAAGGAGAAGATAACTACATGTAAGGTTGCATAGATGCAAACAAACATCAGTTTCAGTCTTTATCTAACGATGTATGTTGTTTCAAAGGAGCGGCCGTTATGTGTCGCGACCTCTGCAGCTGTCACTACATTTATAATAATATTACACTGCAAAAACTTACAGCCATCCTGTAGCTCAACTTCATCATTCGTGAGGGTATATGGATTGAGTTGCAGAAAAGTTATCCCACTCACAGCCACAACTTATATCACATGGTATATCTATTCTAATTTACTCCATAACAAGGATCACACTGCTTTTCTAAGAGATTATCATACGTTAATGAAGAAGAAATAGTATTGAGAAAGTATGCTTTTATGTCATACCTCAATTCTGCTCCGTCTAAATGGCTGGGCCTCTTGTACGTTTACGTCAGATTACCATGGTTATCGAAGCCAATAGTAGAGGGGTTCGATACATACTACAATAATGATTATCACAACGGGTAGCTAAAAGTTTAAATCACTCTGAGCACAGGCCAAGTGACACAAATAAGTTGATATTACCTTAAGAACAACAGGTGCGTCCAACTGGCAGAACCATTCAAGCCCTCCTTTGGGAATGGGCTCTCGTTGATTTTAAGCCAACAGCCTTATAGTATTGGAATGAAAACAGTCACAGTACTTTCAAGAGAATACACGACAGCGCTGCAGTCGAGTGATGGTTCAATTGGTAATGAATTACAAGGTAAAAATTGAAGCGTGGAAGCCAAATTGCAACGGTAGATATCAGCCCACCTTAGGTGGAGGTATGCTTACATAGAATAAATAACTAGTGAAATAGCAGCAAGAATAGAATCAAAAAAGTACACGAGTAGATCACAAACAGTAAGAAGCGGCAAATATAAGAATTTTCTAGATAGTCTTTTTGCGCTCACTATGGATCTTCAATATAGTCTTGTAGATCAAAGTGTTGTTTTTCAAAGAAAAAAAAAAGGCTCTGTTGCATCCATGAGAAATCGGATCGCCGTTTTTATGAACATCTCTTTACAAGCTAGTAGAAAATAGTAATATCCCATCGCCCCACCAATGTTTTCTTTTGGACACTAGCTGCGAAATGCTACCAGGTCAGTCTAGGAAAAAGTTAGATCTTACCTCCAGAATTGCGGGATATGGGCAACTGTTTGGTGGTTATTCAAGATTTGTGGAGATACATTTCAGCCTTCGTCAGGAGCAATTTTTTTGGATTTTTGCGCCTATTCAGGAAGATAGTAAGTGATTCTTTCATTTCTTTTAATCTTAAACGGTTTTCACATTTTCATGCCCCTTTATTTATTTTGGCTGTAAGTTTTGGATAAAAATGTTCCCTTCAAGATCAAAATCTTATACTGTGAGGAATAGTAGATATGTCATTATTTTAAATTTTTACAGTTCACTACGACTAAGAGGGAGCAGGTCGCAAAGAGCGATTCATGTGCTTCACAAAAGGAAACGGTCGATGGACCTGTTATAGAGGTACTTATTTATTTAAACAAGCGTGATCAAACTAGTCCAATTTAATAAAACAAAAGAGGTAGAATTTTACCTGTAGTGACTTATCTTATTGTTAGACATATGTATGTAATAAACTGATCTGAATTTTCGTATTCAGTGAATTATTTCAAGAATATCAAAGTCGTTATCAGCAAAGGTACATGCATATATGGAGCACAGTGCAGTAGAGGCATCCTAATGTGTGCGCTTACGGTCTTTTTTTGCATAATCAAACTTCGCTTAGCCTAGACAAAATACACAACAATGAAAAACCTGTTTCCACAACATATTGAATGTGATGGGGCACAAAACTGTTTGATCTTGACGAACCTATGCTCTACTAGAAGCCCTAAGGCGAGATATAGAAGGTCAGCGCTTAAACATTCTAGGCTTCCGACTACATTAGAAGAGATCGGGATGGAAGTTTTGACAACGAAAACACAACCCTATCCTTTGAAACCGAAAATCATGAGAAGCCGAGAACTGCTGAGTTGTATGTTCACAAAAGAAAGAAGGAATTAAAAATGTTCTATAAGGCTTACCCTGTTTAGCGGCTCACCTCTCTCAGCGGCTATATCAACCGAAGAAAATGAACCAAAACTAACTGGGAAATATTGCAAGGGAAAAAAGATGTCTAAGGAAGCGATAGAAAAGTAGGTTTTAGGAGTGCACTCGAGCATGTGAAAAACAAAATCTAATACTTTAGAGAGGTTAGTGAAGTCATGGATGCGTTCCGCCGAAACGACGTTGCTTGGCTGGATTGGAAGTACGAAGAGCTCAAAAAGGGAATTAGATAAACTTTTTTTTAATCATCAAGGGTCGCGGAGAAATGCTCTACTTTTTAGGAAGGAAGCAGCGAAGCGGGCAACAATTTAAAAACTGGCGAAGCATTCGGTGAAACGGATGGGGAATTTACCTACGCAACACCAGGTATGGTTTCGAGAAGATTGCAGTTGACGATTGTTTGCTACTTATTTGTTACAGATTACGAATGGATAGACGAATTTGAGGAGAACGTTCCCAGAACGAATGCTAAGCACACAACGACTCCGAAATGGAATGAGCTAGTAAAGGAGGTAAGTATCCAGCACCTATCTTGTGTAGTAGATATCCTCACTTCTGATAGATTATGGTCCCACTTCCCTACTGATAATGGTCTTTTTCAGATCGCTCCTCGCTTTTCCCCAATGGCATTCGCATCGTCGTCTTCGATTGCGCAGGGCTGTGCCCTCCGTTACAATGTAAGCTTACACTAATTTTTTATTCAAAGAGAAAGAATTCCTCAGACATTTAGGAGGCTGGTCTTCGCCCTATGAATCCCGACTACGACAGACTTGCATTTGATATAAGCGATGAAGATGAGGGTCATGAGGGTCAAACGGAAAATCAGACGGAAAATCAGATGGGAGAGATCCCGACGAAAGTTAGCAAAATGTGGGCCTCGTGAAAACCTTCTATTTCTATCATTCAAATGCCTTAATCATTTCTTACAGAAAACATGCAAAAGTTACCAGAAAGGGAAAGAAGAGAAATCTAAGGAAGGCAAAGCGCTAATTCCGCTATTTCTGGGTCGTTTTGTTGATTAGTCGTTGCTTATATTTCAGGATAGATTTTTCAAAAGTTATTATATATTTGTTAAGAGTTACTAAATAAAGATGTTTTATTTCATCTTGAGTCGCATTATTACTGAACGCTTTGTAGTTTCGATAAAGTTTAACGCAAACTAGCACCTCGTTCTTTCTGTCTAGTAGTATCTATTCAGGAGGAACTATGATAAGTTGTAATCAGATGTGGCAATTTTTCGAACATAGATATACAATTACTCCTTGAAACAATTGTCGAATCATGTAGAATCGTCGTTTTAATGAGAACTTCCTCATTTATCTCATTAAGCTTATGAAAATTTCCCATTTTGGTGGGCAAATTTCGAGCTCTGAAGCATGAAGGGTTTGGTTGAGCAGCGGATAGTATCAAATGTTCTTTAAGAGTTATTGAAATATGATCGACTTCTCTTCGTAGCATTTACTTGAGGATCCCATCTGAGAAATGTATGAATGTTGTTGTTCTTTGTTCTCTCAAATTCTTGGGCAATTCGTATTTATGCCTCTAAATTTCGAAACTCCGCGAAAAAGCCTGGATATATGTAAAAAAAAGAGAAATTTTTACTGTGATCTAAATTCTCCATAATGAACACAAACAAAAAATGAACAATGCAATGTTTGCAATGTTACCTGACACGGAGTGAATGTCAACAGAAAAAGATAAATTTACAATCACGGAATTATATAAACTGAACCGAGATCACAGAAAGATTTCGTTCATACAAAAAAAAAAACGATCAGCAGAAGATGACGGACGTAGTAAGAGATAAAACGTCGAGTATCCTGATATGCGCAATCAGCAGAAAATATCAGTTCAATAAATTATTCCACATTCACAACCCGATACGAAGGGGTTCAATGTTCAAAACACTTGAAATAGCCACCAAAACATATTCAGACCTTGAAGGGTATTTTGACTAACTAGTTAGAGACGGATTCTCTTAAAATAAGAAGAAGCACAACAACCTAAGTACAAGTGAACCCGAATGACACCATAGCGAACTCGTAAAACTGGCAGACGCCTCAGTTGTCGTCGTACTCAACGGGCTCATCGCAGTCAGCGAATGAGAAAGTGATAGGATTTCCATCCTTGTCTAGCTGAACATAATAGTTTATCATACGAACTGATGGGAAGATGCTAAAGGAGAGACAACATACTTTAACAGGCACATCAAGATTGATTGGTCCAACAGCTTTGCTCATTCTATCCCTCTCCTCCTCAGTAAGAGAAGACTTGACGTGCAAAAAGTCTACTTTACGCAAAAATCCTTGAACGTCATGCTGTAATAAAAGAAGTTTGAAATGCACTGGCTAAGAGAGCTCATCATAAAAGCTGTTCAAAGATGGATGAAAAGGTGCTAAGGTTATAGCTACGATGAAAATTATTCCGATGATAAGAGATTGTCTTACCTTCACATCCACAGACTGTGTGGACGACATGAGGTAATTCACAGGTGCAATGAGATCATTATAAACTACTAAATCCTCCAAAAAAGGGGCAAAATAAGCTAATGAATCCCGCATCTAAATAGTATGTAAAATCATCAAATCAATCATAAAATTGAAAA